CTCCCTCAGCCGCTCCTCATAAGGTCTGTACTCCAGCCCCTTCACCAGCTTCACTGCCCTTCTTTGGACATGCTCCAGCGCCTCCATGTCCTTCTTGTAGTGAGGGGCCCAAAACTGAACACAATTATTCGAGGTGCGGCCTCACCAGGGCCGAGTACAGGGGGATGATCACTTCCCTGGTCCTGCTGGCTACACTGTTCCTGATACAAGCCAGGAGGCCATTGGCCTTCTTGGCCACCTGGGCACACTGCTGGCTCATGTTTGGCCGGCTGTCGACTAACCTCCAGATCCTTTCCTGCCGTGCAGCTCTCCAGCCACTCTGCCCCAAGCCTGTAGCGTTGCATGGAGTTGTTGTGACCAAAGTGCAGGACCCGGCCTTACTAAACCTCATACAGGTTCTCAGCCCATCGATCCAGCCTGTCCAGATTCCTCTGTAGAGCCTTCCTACCCTCAAGCAGATCAACTCTTCCTCCCAGCTTGGTGTCGTCTGCAAATTTGCTGAGGGGGCACTCAATCCCCTCATCCAGATCATTGATAAAGATATCAAAGAGGACGGGCCCCAACACCGACCCCTGGGGAACACTGCTTGTGATTGGTCGACAGCTGGATTTAACTCCATTCACCACTACTCTCTGGGCCCGGCCATCCAGCCAGTTCTTCACCCAGCGAAGAGTACACCTGTCTAAGCCATGAGCTGCCAGCTTCTCCAAGAGAAGGCAGTGGGAGACAGTGTCAAAGGCCTTACTGAAGTCCAAGTAGACCACGTCCACAGCCTTTCCTGCATTGACTAGGCAGGTCACCTGGTCATAGAAGGAGATCAGGTTTATCAAGCAGGACCTGCCTTTCATGAAGCCATGTTGGCTGGACCTGGTCCCCTGGTTGTCACGCACATGCTGTATGATTGCCCTCAAGATGATCTGCTCCATAACTTTCCCCGATACAGAGGTCAGGCTGACAGGCCTGTAGTTCCCCGAATCCTCCATCTAACCTTTCTTGTAGATGGGCGTCACATTGGCAAGTCTCCAGTCGTCTGGGACCTCCCATCAAAAATGTTCGAAAAGTCAGGCTATAACAGAAGAAAAATGACTACTGAAAAAGTACCGTACAGTTTTCCTGCTCTGCACCCATGTCAGACACTGCTATAAATTGCTTGTGTGTTAAAGCTGTGTCAGAGGAGAACATCCCAGAGCTTTCTTCAAAGTGCCCTTTTTTTTTAAAGAAACTTTCTTCAGCATCCTTTAATATTTCATCTTCCTGAAGATGTATTATCACAAATATGAGAAGACAATGAGAAGGAGAGAGAAAGGGAGAGTGAGTGAAACACGGTTCAGCGCATAGAATTCACATTTTCTCTCAAAGCAGTTGGAACATAAAATTCTTGATGAAGTTTTCTCCAATGGTTTGCTAAATCTACTTTCAGAATAAGGCAGTACAAAATGCTGCAGTAATAATTAACATGCCAAATGCATTCTCACTGCTGTCATTGCACTTTGGTTGTGGTTTGTAACAGCAGCAAATTGGACAAGTCTCAATGAAAGGATTGAATTCCTGTTCAGGAAATGTGATGGTATTATAAACTAAAATACAATCTACTGATCTTGGCTGTTTTAAGAATTCAAATCTTGCTGGAGACTTGTTTCTGCTTAGTTGCATACATCCTGTTTTTTGTACTCAACCCAATGGAATGAGGTAGGATATTCACCCACCAATAGGATATGAGAGACTCAAGGTGTGTGAAACAGGAGGAGCAGAATCAAGGGGGATCATGTTAGTTCAGTGAACTGCAAAAGCACTGAACACAGACTTTGACACTACCACTAATAGTTATAATTTGCCTCCCATGATGAGACCATCTATAAGTGCTATCAAAATAGCATATAAACTTACTTGGAGTGAAAATGCTCGTAAAGCAGGAATAGGGATTAAGGCAGCCATAAAGAAAGCAGTAACATTGCTGATAGATGTAAGGGCTACACTTGCTCCTGTTCGCTTCAAACATTCACCTGTTCTGTCCTGCAAAACAAATGGTGCATCTTAAATGTCAAGTGAATAAGGTGATGTCCTGCAAATGAAAGGATCATCCTACAGATATAGTATGGTAACAGTGAAAACTATTACAAGGAATTTCTGAATACAAATGTGCATTTGAAAGAATCTGACAATATACTAATTATGGTGCCCGGGAGAAAGGTAGATTACATATGAAGCACTAACATTTTTGAAGGTAGAAAGCATTATCAAAGCTACAGGAATATTTACATTAGATATCAAATACATCTGTAGGATGTATTTTGTATCAGTGCAGTCTCTTTGTGTTCTCATCATTTTCAGATAAAATAAGCATGCATTAACAACATAGATACATAATGTATCTACATAAAGTATGCAAAAAAACAAACAAACAAAAACAAGGATCACACGCACACAAAAGAGAAACAAGCATATATACACAGGACCCTTTCGCAACCCAGTAGGCTATTTTGAAGCATATAGAGGTTATAGTAGAATACATTTGTAGTGCCCTGCATGATGAACCATCTGAAAAGTGTACATCAAAGACATTGCTTGTACAAAACAAAATGGGCAAATATACATTGCTTTTAAATGGTTTGTACATTAGATATGAAACTTTGGACTGAAAACAAAAAAGTCAATAAAAGGAAAAGATCATAAAAGTGAGGAGATTTCAGATTTCATAACATAAAGATGCTGTGCTTTGGAATGTCATGGTCAATTATAAATAACAGGAAAGAGAAATAGGGAAAATATGTAAAAGATCACATTTAAGGACATAACACAAACAAAGGTAACTGAATACAAGTAAAAACGTTTCTTCACTAAATTGAGCTGCACATCTTCCTTTTCACTTTAAGATTTTTGTGTTCTTACATTAAAATATTTTATCATTTTAACATCAGACTTGTATTCCAGGTTGCTCCAAATTTTGCCTCAACTTTCACTGAAGTTTTGAGCACACATGGAATTTGCATTATCTAAACGAGCTTTTATATCACAGCTATAAATTAAACTTTCAAAATAAAATAATCTAGGATGCTATTATGTAGGGGGAAAGAAAGAATGTCCCGAAATATTCTAGGATCACGTGCATTGCATTTGCCATCAAATAAAAAATAAACAAAATTCACACGTCCCAGAAACACCTTACTATACAATTTTAGATACAATATATTTTCCCACATTAAGTTTTTTCTTTTGTTTTCTCCCAACTCCCCATTTTGTCATTACCTCAAATGGAATTCTCTTATTCTGCCCTGTTTCACTAAATGCATGTGCTAGAAGGAAAACATCATCTACACCAACTCCAAGAGCAAGAAAAGGTAAAACCTTGGGGAAAGAACAAACAAACAAAAGAACAAGAATTTTAATATATTACTTCTATGACCTACCATGCAGCTAGTTATTAGATGGGTAATTAAAATGACTTTCACACTATATTTGTACTCAAATCCAAAAATAAAATGAAAATCAAAAGGATGCAATACAGCTCTTTTATTTTGAAACACTGCTGAAACACTTGAGGTATACCATGTATGGTCACAAAATCTCACTAAAAATAATTCAAGGCTTGAATAGGCAAAGAATATTAGATTACATTTCAAAATATTTTTACGATCCTTGCAGAATTCAATCATCTTGATATATTCAGATGCAAGGCAGCAGCTTATGCTCAACTGGATGCCTACATTCACACTGGGACACAGAGAAACAAATATTCCAGAATATACCTAATGAAACAAACTGCAAGATATTTGTCCTTTCTTTTTAATATCATAGAACAGCACTCTCTCTTGATTTCTTACAGCATGATCTATGAGATAGAAGGCACAATTAAAATGTTTTTAATTAAAAAATTTAAAATGATTGACTCAGATATGTTCATTTACTAGCAAAGTACTTGTAATTTAGCAGCAGACTTGTGGCTCCTTGATACCTGAGTTGTGGCAGCATTAAAGGAAATTCCAATCAATGAGCACAGGCCCAATCCTGCAGCTACTGAGAGTGCAACCAACAAGCCCCCTGCCAGCCCCACGGCACCCTGAGACTTGGCACAGTCCCACCGCAACATTGTTAAACAGGCATAGACAAGCTGAAAGTAGAGTAGGGAGAAAAAAAAAAGAGACATAAGCAAAATATTAGGATGGATCTTTCTCTAACAGCTATATCCCCCCAAGAACATACACGATTTATAAGCATTTCTAAACAGAATAGACACATTAGCGATGTTACATAGAATGTTTACAAACTGCCAGTTTTAAGTATTCTGAAAATGTTCTGGACCGCTGACTGGTAACAATTAGCTACTCTGATAACACTGACATCAGAAAATGACTTTAGGATGTCATCCAGGGTAGTTGCAGTAAAGGAAAGCACCTTCTGAGTAGAGTTTTGTGCAACACTTTGATGAACAACCTATGAAAAGGAAAATAAAACTTAGTGTGGCTTAAAAAAAAAAGCATATTATCTTCCACAGCACACATTTGAAATCAACTACTTATGATTTGAAATCAACTACTTTTATGCCTAAATTTTTCCTGTTAAGACACACACCCTACACAATAGATTTCACTGATGCTGCATGAAATAAATATTTTTTATAGTTATTCTGTACAAGCTACTGATTATCCAAGTAGAATTTGCATCCTTCAGGATAGGCCACTGCACTTATAGCTCATTCAAAACATTTAATTTAAATCTTGAAATGTAAAGAGGGCACCGATTTGCTGTTGTACGAATTTTGCCTTTAATCCAAGGCTAGAGTGCTTGTCAGGGTGCTCCATTGCCTGGCAGTTTCACAGAGGTCAGAAACAGCGTGGCAGAGGTAAGGACTTGGGACACAAAGGCACTGTCACATGGCCTCATTTTCCAGACATCTTTAGAGCAATCACCCCAAACAAATGCTTTTAAATTTAGCGTAGTTCTTCTGTTCCTTTTAAGTCTCAGGAAAGAAAAAAATGTTCTAGAGCTTTAGACAGCAAACAGCAAACCCTTCCTGGCTTCTCTTGTGTGTATAAGCAAGTGCCTTCTTAATTATAAAGGGAAGAAATCAACCTTTTAAAATAGCCTGTTACAGCTAAATCCAAGAGACAACCACTCACATGTAAAGCCATGACAGAAGGCAGTGGATCTTAGTAAGACTTTATAGCACAGTTTCAATTTTACCTCAACATACATCCTCTGCCAGGCTTCCAGAATTGCTGCTGCCTTATCCTCATTCCAGTTGATGTGTGAAACATATTCATACCCCTTGAAGTGCTCATACATTTGCTTTGGCGTCATTAATTGAAACATGGTTTGCAAAGCCTGTGCACTGTAGCAGGGAGAGAAGAGGGAGAAGGAAGAGGCATAAAATAACCATTTGAAAAGCCTGATAGAAGATTGCATGAGTTTTTGATTTTATAGGGCACATGTTCACATTAAAATTGAACAGAGTATAATTATTCTACTATGTATCTGGTGCAGCTATACTGGTAATACTGGCTAAACTGGTAATAACTGGTAATAAGGCTAAATCTGGTTTCACTGAAGTTAATGAGAGTTTTGCCATTATTTTCAATAGGATGAGATTCAGGAATAGAGAACACAACCCTACAAATCAGGTATAAAGATCATAATTAAGAGACATATTACTATGAGGAGGACACAGGACTAGTTTAGTTCTATGAGATGCTGTAAATGCAGTAAGTTGTTGGCAATTTGTAATTTGAAGACCTTGGTCTATTTCTTGGAGAGAAATACCAGACTAAGCTCCTAATACCTGACAAGCAACAAGGAATATCCAAAAGGCAATAATTATTCATCATAAATTTCCATAGTAGGCAACTGTATTCAACAATTTTAATTAAGGAACTATTTTTAAGGAACTGTTTAAGGAACTATTTTGTTTTTCACCAATAATATATTCTTTGGCTACTTGATAGAAGACACTTCAGAGACCTTTTTCACAATAAATCAAAATTAGTTTAAAAAAAGCTTCAATATTTAGTACCAATGTAAAAAAAAACCTTCAGAATCCATAGCAAAATTTCTAGTAAAATTATTTGTATTAAATATGCAAACATTATACTACTTTTATTTTAATATAAATTTGGATTCATCTTATCCATTTAAGTCTTTAATGATTTTGTGTCTTATATTTTTCAGAACAAATCTACTTCAAAGGGGCTTCCCTCCAAAGTCCAGTATTTCATGACTTATTGAATAAGCCTGAAAAAAAAGGGTTTTGTAAAAACGCTATTTGAGTTACAGTGACAAATAATAGACTTTTCTCTTTTTCTCTGTATTGATCTTAAACAGTTCAATGGAGGTGTTGGAATTCTAAGAAAAATCAAGTGAGCAGGCACTTTACACAGGTTATTTTTTTCCCTTTTTCCTTTGATCATATTTCAAAACATGATCAAAGTTGTTCAATGCTTTAAACACTGTTCAGTGCTTTATACATACATTCTGAACACAAAATTGCTAGGAAAAAAAATCTTTATGAGCAATATATACTATTATTCTTAGGTTAGAAGCAGGAAGCAATGACATCTCTTTTAAACATCTGTCTAATCACACTTAAATTATGTCCTTATTGGGGATTTCTTCCTAGACCAGCGATAACAATATGCATCATTCACAGATTCTGAAATGTAACTAATTTTGCATGATCACCTGCACCTCCCCAAAAGCCCTAACAAATAAAAGCTTTAAAGTTTTCTTTAAACATTTATTTGCTTACCTGACAAGTTTACCAGAATTGTTCTTGACTGTACCACCTATAATCAACTCCTCCTGCCAATGCATGTATTTTCTTGACAGTCCATAGCATCCACCACTCAAAACAAGGGCCACATCAAGAGGCTAGAATAACATTATGAAAAAGCAATTCATCAGTTGTACAACTTCAAACAAACTCAAATTCTAAATGAACATCTAGTGTACTGGAATAACAGTTATTATAAATAGTCTAGGAAGTCTACAAAAAGAAATGTGCTCAACAAATGGAATAGTCAAACCAGCTGAATACTCGTTCACCAGGCAGCAGCTTTTCCAAAGCCTAGTGTGAATGAGATAGGGATAGATGAAGTTGGAGCCCACAGCTTCCTATTCTTCACAAAGGTCGGTAAAACTGTCCCTACTTGAAGGAAGCCTTAGTGCATGGTGTCAGTGTACAATGGCAGCCATATTCCAGAAGCTGCATCCCCCTGAGGCATGTTGGCTGCTGAAATGGTGCATCACCACATTGTCACACCTAGTTGGTAGCTGAGAACTGTAACCTCACTTGAAACATGTAGGATTAAGTATTGCATCACAGACTGAGGGAATGTTAGTGACTCGACTAATGGTATATAGTAGGAGCAGAGTAATGAAATTGCTGAAGAACATGAAATATATATTGCTTGGAAGAAAACGGTGCCATCTCCTCTCCCCACATACACAGCCTCCCTTGAAAAGATCTACACAAGGATAAGCAGACTTACTTTAGTGGAATTTTTGTTAGGAGCCGTGATTGGGCAATCGGGATCGGCAGGATTCAGGCAAGGTCGATCCATATAACCATGACCAACCTCTGCTTTATTCAGCATTTCTTCCCAGCTATCCACTTGGTAGTTTATTTTCTTTAACTCTTCCAAGAATTCTAAGGGGTCAAAGTTGATCCACTGCAAAGGTGGTTTCCCTCTGTAAAGGAAATCAGGGGAAAATGACAAAGAAAATGACAAAATAAGTACTGAAACAAAAAATTATTTAATTCATATTCACAAAAATGACCAAGTTGTTTTCTGTTACAAGCTAAACTCTTTCTGGTAAGGTTGTTTCATAAAATGAAATGCATGTTTTAATTATATTAGTGTATGTGTAATTTTCCTGTAGTCACATTAATTTTAACAAAAACACTCAGTACTTACAGAACAAGTTACTCTATGAAAGGGAATATTCACATGTTAAATATACTTCCATTTACAAACAAAGTAAAACAAACCATCAAGCACCAAAAAAGCAGCCAACTGCTGCTTCAGATAATTTGCTGGAAGGGGAGAGAGAAAGAAGAGAGGGAGCTGAGGAAAGAAAGCCTTTCACATAGTATCAGAACACCTCTTGCTAATCTAAAAATCATCTTGAAAATGTAATCAATCAAAATAGCTGATCTTTAGCTGATACTGTGCTCTTTCAAACAAATTGGCAGGTTGACTATCAATCATCAAGCTTTCCTGCTACCATGGCTATCACCACTATCCCTGTCACATCTCCCACTCCCCACTTTTGAATCTGTGATGTTGACAGATCAAAAAGGCTTTCAGCTGCCTTATGCTGTGGCTCAAACCACACTGTATCTGCTTAATCAGGTTTAAGTCAGGTTAGATATTAGGAAAAAATTATACACGGAAAGAGTGGTGAAGCATTGGAACAGGCTGCCCAAGGAAGTGGCAGAGTCACCATCCCTGGCAGTGTTCAAGAAACGTGTGGATGAGGCGCTTATGGACATGGTTTAGTAGGCATGGTGGTGAAGGGCTTACAGTTGGACTTGGTGATCTTGAAGGTCTTTTCCAACCATAATGATTCTATGGTTCTATAAGTCATTGTTCCAAAACTCCCAACAAGAAAACACAAACCCGTTTATTTCCCCATTTAAACATGCAGAAAATGACTGTACAGATTAATAATTAATTCTTTGAAGGACCCAGTGCGTATAATATCACATCTGTAAATTGTGAGAAATCACCCATAAAAGACACTATATTTGGTTTCTTTAATGATCTCATAAACAAAGGATCTTTTTAAATTCCTTAGGGGGACTTGAGATTTTACTCGACGGCTACATTTTTTAGAACTACAATGACTTCCCAGACAATCATTATTTTTGTAGTTTATGAAAATAAACTTTTCTGTTTTTATTTTAAAAAGGCAAAAAAAGTTTAAAAGCATGATTTCATAACTTATATTTTCTTTTACATGTCAACAAGAAAAGTAACAACATAGCACTTCCAATTGATGCCTACAAATCCTCTTTTAGAAACAAAATCTTTGTTTGATTAAAAATGCAGCTTCTGAAGTGATACCACAATTTATTTTTTATTTTTGGTTAAACCAGAATCTGAATAAACAATGGGAACACAACTCAAAAACATGCATAGTTTTACAATTAAAAACAGTCAGACTAGAAAGCTATAAAAACAGCATACTTACAACAAATAGGCAGTTCCTGATTGAAGCTTTGCTCCCTCCCAGAAGCAGTCCAAAGGAGTGATAATTAAACAAGGATAAAGAAATTCTATAATCTGTCAAAATCAAAAAGGAGGGGGAAAAATTCAGTTAGAGTAAAACATAACCAAACAGCACAAGCTGAATCATGAGAATATAAAATGCTTATACCCAAATGCTTATTATGCCTACCTGGTCCATGTAACCTGCTTCTGTGATGAGTTCTCCTGATTTATAACATAAGTGTTCCAATTTCCATTGTCTGTAATAAATATAAAGAACAACAAATATTTTTTTTTCTTCACAAATACTGAAGAGGTATTTTTAAAAGGCAATATACATGTAAAATGGTAATTCATATACACAAGTAACGATTTAATGAGAAAGGCAAGTTTTATTCAGTGTAGGTATACCACATCTCACAAAGGCAAAGGCCTATCTTTTTGTAGTTATAGACTAGAAATATTTGTTTCAGTTATGATAAACAGTCTCTGCAAAATTAATTAAAAATAATGAAGCTACTTTGGGATTATCAGGCTATTCAACACAACTAAAAGGGACAGAAATCTGGCTCTATATAAATGAGATCACTCGTGACTTAAGATATCACTCTGTGACACAAGTGAGAAAAGGGTCAGCTTTGGGCTCAGAGGGCTAGAATACTCCTAGCCCTAACTCATGCATGCAGGAGAAAAGAAACAGTTAGGTTTTCTGCCTTCTTTGTTCAGCTGTATTACAGCTACCACTGTTGTGGCTTCTAGCACCCTAGACAAGGCTGACTAAAAGACAGTTGGAGCCATGACCCTAGTTCTCTTAGGCATCATCTGGATGTGCTGAAAGACAGTGGACTTTCTGCCTCACAGACTGCATCCCTAGGCACATTTCCATCCTGAAAGGGGCAATCTTGGAGGAATTGCTTCTCAGGGAGAGATCCCACTAGCCCAAAGCTGATGACTTGTTAAGACACATCTTTAATATTTGCATTTTTGGACAACTCTTAGGTCCTGCTCTCCAGAACACTCCCAATCTTCAGCTTTGGCACACTGACACTCTGAAAGCTAATTCTGACGTGACTGCTTCTATGTTGTTAAATATCCTAGTTATTCTACCCGCTGCCGTTTCTCTTTATACATTTTGCATTTCTCTTTATGCCCACACTACTGGAAGGATGGTAACCTATACTAGTGCTCACTGCCATTGCATGTCTCCTGTAAGTATCAGCAAGCGAGTTCAGCTACAATATGTAAAGCTTTTTACTGTTACGAATCCCATCAATAAGGTCCTATGTTTAACAGCATAGTTATAGCTCCTTTACCAAGAAAAAAGTTGGATACTGTAGCACTGGTCATGGGGGTACATTTTCAGAATCTCATCCAACCCCTCTTACACCATTTAATTTGTTAAAAGCCAGTTGGTCATTGCTCTCATATCACACTTTCAAGCATCAGTAACCAATGACATTCAAATCAAGAGAGTCCCAAAGGGTAGGGCTCTGAGGTGCTACAAATTTAAAAATATATGCAAAGGAGCATGTGTCCACTTTTTAGTTGTCTACAGATGACCAAGTAAACCTTTGCTTTTCCCCTTACCTGTTGTACATATAAACATGTACTCTGCTGGCCTGAAGTGCAGAGTCAAGGTGCTGCTTGAGTGCTTCTGTTGTTAGTACATTAGCAGCATCTTCCTGTGGCATTTGAATCATGAGCTGGGGGTTAAACATTGCCTCTTCTCCAATCTTCTGCCGTGTGTAATTTAACTCCCGACTCACTCGTCCACCAACTGATGGATAAATATTAACAGATAAAAAGAAGAAGAAATCTTTTCCTTACAGACCAGACCAAATATTCCTATGTTACAATTTCTTACACTCGTATACACTCTGGTCCAATAGCACATTTCAAGATAAATGGCTTCAATTTACATTCTTCTCCTAAATAATTTGGCAAAGGCTGAAGGGGAATGTTTCTCTTCATTTTTTTTTTTTAAAAAAAAAGGAGTGAAAGAGTAAGTGAGCATGTGTACTTCTCTGAAAAATGAAAAAAAAATATTGAGTTCACATAAAGAGGTACACTTTTGAGCGTAGCAGAACAGACAATTTGCAGTCAAACAATTTGCCTCAGTGGTCTGGTACCCACATAACGTGGTGGGACACAGCAAATAATTCATACTCAATATTGCATGTACATGCATTGAACAGTTTCCTGCATATCAAAACATGGTTAAAAAGTAGGGCAGGAGTTTGCAAAGCAGACAGGCTCTAGAGGAAGCAATATTCAATTTGCCTTGCTGGAGAAAATTACATAAAAATGGAAAGACATCTTCCAGCTTACAAAAAAAAAGCATTCAGCTAGAGTTCACATACTTTACACAACCTCCCCTGTAGTCTCTCTAGAAAATGCATGTGGGAAGGAGTTCAATTAATTCAGTATATTACCTGAATCAAGACCATATCCAGATGAGGAGAACAAGACCACCAACAAACTGTTTCCATCTCTTACAATTTATTACCTTTATTGCTCTGCTAAGTCCAAGCCTAGAGACCTGGTCTAATTTGTTACATTTTCATCAGTTGTAGTCACCTTGTCACTGATCTGAATTACCGTCAAAGTTTAGAAGTTGTGTGGCAGTGTGAATAGAAGTTAGGCACATACATCTATCTATCTTTTCTTAGGCCTCGTAACTGAAGACTGATCTGTAACTAGTTGGCAGCATGGTAGATAACATCGTCAAGTCTATGAACAAGCCTGGGACGTACTTTTTCAGTCAGTTGAACCCTCCTCAGTCTACCTGTAATCCCATTGGGGATGACAGGACGTCCAGGCAAAAAGTTGGGCCTCAGCATGGGCAAAGCTGTCAGAATCAGTTTATCAATAATTAAGTCATATATTTATTCTGTCACAAAACATCACTTAATATCTAGTTCAAGAATTCTTTGAAGAAATAAGTATTTCCAAAACACACACTAACCATTTTCTCAGTCTGTCACACATGTTATTACCTCCTTCACATCATGTAACAGCAATCAGATCACAATTACAACAAATAGAAAGCAAAGTACAAATTTCACACCTGGATTCCCCTTATGACAGTGACAGGAAATATAAACATTCAGACTGTACATGCATAATTACAAAAAAAGAATGTTAAGTCATATGAAATATTAATACCCCACCAGGCAGAACTCTATGATATGCTACATTTTGCTTCATCTTACAGGGATGTGACAAGGGAGCACATGTATCCTAATCTATAGGTCTTGGAACAAAACCTTACTTTTGCAGTCCTTTACATGACAAGTAGTTCAGAACACAAAATACTCGCCTTCCTCTGTGTTTCAATGCCACCCAAGACAATAAAGCCCCAATTTAATCAGGACTGTGGAGTCTACATAAGCATCTCTTCCTGGTACTATAGTCTCCCTTTCCACTCGCACTTTACTTCTGCATTTAACTAGGACTTGAACTGAGAGAGTAAATTTGGAGCATGACAAAGGAGGCATTCCCATCTCTGCTGCAAGTGACCAACTGTTTACTATCAACAGAAATGATTGCTTCCTAATCAAGTTCTTGTCAAACTATATTAACTTCACTGAATGATTTAGCTAATCAAAACTTCATTGCACAAGTCAGTCATCAGAGGAGACACTGTTTTTCACCTTCTACATTCAAAACAAGAATAACAAAAACATCCAAGAAAGTGGGCACATGTTCCAGATCTCAACAATAGAGCTGCTGTACATTTTTCTTGAGGCATTACAGCACTTCATTATTACTCTGATGGGTCCATTATGTACATTTCTTCTGCTAAAACCAGGAAAATTTTGACTGACTGCCAAAGACAGAGTTTGAAACCATGTGAAAACATATGGATGGAACAGAAGCAAGTGGATACATCAGCGACCTTTCAATATATCAGAAGCAATAAAGAACAAGAAGGAAGACAAAAAAAAACACAAAAAAAAACATAAATACAAAATTACAAAAAGCTTATACCAGTTATATGTTTCACTTATTTTAACTGAAAGTTTACAAAAAAAATCATTCATTGGGGACTGCCATGCTCAAGGATCTTAAGCCTCTACAATCAACTGCATAAGCACTTTTATTATGCAGGCACTCTTGTTGTGATTTTATTTAAGGTGTCCACAAGTGGTGCCAAACCCTAGGAATGACCCCTAAAAACATCACTGAAATGTACCTTTTGGCTCATTGTATACTAAAGATAAACAATACCAGGCTCAACACACACATTCCACAGAATGTCATTCCTTACACTTATAAGAAAAACAATATATACATATTATATTCATCACAAGATTCCCACACTACGGGGCAACTGATGCAATAGAAACTATTATCAACCAAAGAGATGGTCTTTTGTGTTTTTTCTTTCTGCACTCTGTTTTTGTATATTTGGAGACAATATTTTTACAATTAAAATGCTACTGAATTTTAGATTGTATGTATGGCATAGAGTACTAGTACTTCCCATTTCCTTCCACACTGAAGACACACAGAGCTATTTCATGTCAATCTTCTAGTGACAAAGTCTGCACTACACTCTCCTGATATATCAAAAGCCACTTGATGGCATTCTATCCCTGTATTACGATTCCTTACGATTCAGTGCCTAGATAGCTGAGTTGATGGCACTCCTGTCCACAAGCCAGAATGTTTATGCAAATAACAGATCTGTACATGGACTCATGGCCAGTGGTAATATAACACAGCAGTTTGTACACTACCCTTTTAGTGGTGTCATCAGATTTTGGGTGGCTGATTTTGGTAGTGGAAAGAAGATACTATGCCCCCTGTAAAATTAAGCTAACAAGAAAAAATAAATCAAGTCAAAGTAATAACATCAGTGTCCCCCAGCACCATTCATAGAATCATAGAATCATAGAATGCTTAGGGTTGGAAGGGACCTCTAGAGATCATCTAGTCCAACCCCCCTGCACACGCAGGGACACCTAGAGCACGTGGCACAGGACTGCATCCAAGCGGGTTTTGAAGATCTCCAGAGAAGGAGACTCCACAACCTCTCTGGGCAGCCTGTTCCAGGGCTCTGTCACCCTCACTGTTAAGAAATTTTTCCTCAGGTTCCTATGGAATTTTTGGTGTTTCAGTTTCCGGCCATTTCCTCTAGTCCTACCAGTGGCCACCACTGAAAAGAGACCAGCACCGTCCTCTGCACTCCCTCCCTTGAGGTACTTATAGACACTGATTAGATCCCCTCTCAGCCTTCTCTTCCCTAGGCTGAACAGGCCCAGCTCCCTCAGCCTCTCCTCATAGGGCAGATGTTCCAGGCCCCTGATCATCCCTGTAGCCCTGTGCTGGACTCTTTGAGCAGCTCCACATCCCTCTTGTACTGTGGAGCCCAGAACTGGACACAATACTCCAGATGCGGCCTCACCAGGACTGAGTAGAGGGGCAGGATCACCTCCCTCGACCTGCTAGAGATGCTCTTCTTAATGCAGCCCAGGATTCCATTAGCCTTCTTGGCCACGAGGGCACACTGCTGCCTCATGGTCAACTTATCATTCACCATGACACCCAGGTCTTTCTCTGCAGAGCTGCTCTCCAAATACCAGAACTATAGCTACCACATAATAGAGCAAAATCAAGAAAGAGCAAAAAATAGCAGTAACAATTTTAATTTTTCAGTAGTCCTTCAGAAACGAAGTCCAGGTTTTGTTAATATCCAGCAAATATAATGATCTACGAGTGATAAACAAATACATTAAAATCAATTACAGCTGTAAATCAAGTCAAAGAGAGCTACAAAGCTTACAGTAGGAAAAAGCTCAGAATTTACCAAACCAAATATTTGGAAACATTTGGGGAAATACAAGTAGAAATTCCCCCTCTAGTGGGCACCAAGAATAACTACAGAGTTACAGTAAAAAAAGCAAGCAGACTATCGAAAAGCTGGGGTTTTCACAATTCATTAATTGTAACGCACATATGTTATATAATGAACAGAATGACCCACTGCAGACTAATTTGATTTCAGTAATCATAAGCTGAATGGATCGAACTATTTTCTAAATAAAAAAAATATTATTTAAAATCTACTCTCCTGCAGCTCCTCTGAGCCACAGCCAAAATCTACAGCTCCACTTGGCCATATTTCACACAATTACCAAATCAAAGCTTCCACAAGAAGCTCAAAATTTAAAGATTTTATAGAGAACAGAGAAGGTAAAACAAGGAGAAAAGAGGAGTATAATAAAACACAAACTGCCATCACACAAGGCAGTGATTTACGTGCAGTAGTGATATATTCAGATTTTGAACATAAGGCAGATAAGGAAAGCATGAAATAGGATTTCAAGAACAAGAAATAAATATGAAATATATCCATTGATGTTCTAAAGGTAGCTTTTCCCAAATATGAGAGGGGGAAACAGAAGATTATATTTTAGGAAATCTAAAAGAAAGGCATTAATTTCATCTATCAAAGCCAGGTGCAAAACTCTTGCACTGTAATAGAAGTTCATCAGTGAGCTGAACAGAAGTAACAGAGGATTTTGGAAGGGGAAACAATCACCTTACATCTGAGGAGTGTCAGAGGACTAATACACAGAAGAGAGGACATTAAGAAAACCTCTCCTTTTCTATTTAGCTTGAAAGATGTAAATAGAACAGTTTTACAATTTTCAAGTCCAAAACCAGAAGAAGTAATATATAATGATAAGATTGATTTGAAAATGTCATCACTGCTATAAGAAAACCTACATCTCAGAGTTATTGTTCAGCTTTGAAGGATTTTATACCTAG